AAACCGAAACTTTGTGGCATGTATAACTTCGGTGAAAACCGACTCGCGCTTACAAATTTGCCTCAAATTACCAAATATTTTATTACAGTTATTGTTATTTTAATTAAATAAATTGCACGATGAAATCATAACTATAAACAATTTTTGACGTTACACATTTTCGTAATATACTCCTTTCTACACACAACTCGTTCCTCCCCTCCACTCTTCCTATTGTTAGTGCAGGTGCACGCACATTTTTGCAATATTACACTTTATCGATATTTATGGCACGATCGATCATAGCCAAACATATAAATACAACTTAAAATTGATCTCGATTCATTCAGTTCACTTAAACTTTAATATCTCCGACAAAACCCGTTACCGGAGCTTCGAAGATTTCTTTACGACTCTTTCATTACCTTAGAAATTGCACGTCTTTAAAACTCTGGAACTTCTCACGGTAATTAAATCACGACTCGAATCTCGGTTCGTTCGAATTATCCGACCGAAGTAATAATTTCCAAGTATCTATAGATAATCGATGACACGTCAAGCGTATACGCGGCTCCGCTCTTATACGTTACTTGAGAATTTTTCAAGCTTCAACGAAATCCAAATAAACGCGCCAGCCAGCGTTTCGAGCCACGTACCTCGCTTAATCGCGCGAATATTTTTACACGTCTATTCAGTCCCGTTCGAACAAGTGACAAGTAACAATATTGCACGACGTCGTCCGCAGCCGGCTATGACTGTTTTAAAAAGTAGCAATCTGCGTTCCGTAACTGGCGCGCGGTAACAAAAAGGCAGCCGACGCTCGCGACATGCGCCGGAAGCGAAAATAATGAATAACGCCGAAACATAAACGAGCAATCAGGAAACGGGGATAAAAGTAATAGACATATCCGTGTGGGATCATTGACGAGTGCTCGTTATCGCTTCCATCGGACTTTTTATTGGCTGTCCCGGTACAGTAGCGAGTTACAGCTCGCTCCTCTCTCTTGCCACGCGATTCTCTCAAATATGCCTGCCACCTGCCTGCCAATAACTACGATCGCAGGTATACGATTTGCATTCGGGCGAATATGTCACGTCAGTCTCAATCGAAAAGTTCGAAAATAACGAAAACGCCGCGATTGCTCCGGCGAATACGTATTACGTACCTACCGATCGATGTGCTCTATCAAAGTGAGAATTCGTTTGTCTCCCCTCTCGCTCCTCAGACAAATGAATGCGATATTTGCCGTTCGTAACCGGTGTTACATATCAAAATCACGCGTGTACAAATATATGATCCGAATACAAAGCCGATGACTCCGCGAGATACATCGTCCAATCAATTGGTCATTTTCATCAATTCACACGCATTGATATTTTTAATTAAATAGTAGTATTA